GGGGACATTTCTGTAACACACAACAGCCCATCCGTTAGTCCGGTAGCAATCCACGTGAGGCTAACGCGGCTAAGCCACTGGGCCACTTTTCAACCTCAAAGATTTGAAAAGGACGTCCCGAAGCCTTGAAAACCGCCGCCGGGACTGGGTCGCGTTAACCAACGGCTGGCAAAAGGCCAGTGAGAGGAATCACGTGGAAGCTGGATTACATATGAATCAGCATGTCTGGCCAGGGCAGCGCGGCATGTTTAGAGATTAGCTACTGACTTTACCAACCCACTGGCACATGGCTTTGAAAAGCCACAGGGGGACTAAAGTCCCAGCGCTTGTCTGCAGGGGGAGATTCACTGGCATTATCATACCAGTATACTTATAGTGGATCAGGATGTGAACTGAACTAAACTTGAATTAAGGCCAATTTTATTCCAAATTAGAGTGTGAACATAGGGGATTAATCCAGTTTAACTAATCCAGTTTTAATTCACACCTTTACTGGATCCAGATTAATGTTCCTGTGTAGACGAGGCCCAAGATAGAACCAAATGAGCTGCCAGGCTTCAAATACAGTAACGAGAGATCCTTAAAGTTCCTCCTGGAAAATCTAGCTTTGATTTTGAGTAAGATAATGGCAGAAATAATGCGTGGAGGCCACAAAGATGATGGGACCATGAGCAAACGACAGCGCTGGGGGTTAGGTGAGACAGGCCGTGGCCACAGCTGAGGAGGCGGTCAAGATTTCATACAGTGACTAGTGATTTTGAGGGCCCATCTTCAGACACATGCAAGAGGCCTTATTTTCAGTGCTTATTTTCACCCTCTGAAAATCGGGCCTCTTTAAACTGTGTCCAGTTGGGGCCCAAAAATCGAAGGACCCAAAATCGCTGGGCATTTTTGAAAGTCTTGGCTGGGAGTCTGAGCCAATCGTGCCCAGGGATTAAAAACAGCACTGGTCCCTGTGCTAAGAGGTGCCACAGCAGGCTGATGGGACTCTGAGGTGGCATCGCGGGAACCTCTGAACCGCGGGGAAGTGCCGCATGGTGACTTGCTCTCCCTCTCAGATACCACTGGCAACATTAGCCATCCCGAGCGAGTTCATAGTGTTCTACAGGGATGTGTATTGTACAGCATTGGGGCCCATCTCTGTCACCTCCCCTAGTGACATAGGGCAGGGGATAAACGGCAGGACACCACAGCAGCAGCGGGGGCCAAGCTGGGAGGGGTGGGTAGCCCCAGGGAGGAGAGAGAGCGGAAGGAGAGCTGGAGCCATGGGCAGAGAACTGAGATCCCGCCTGAGACAGTGAGGGAACGCAGGGCGAGCTCTCAGGAGTTGCCCTGTCTCTCGAGGGACATCCACGCCTTGGCAGCTGTAGATCTACTTTCTGTGAAAGCAGGTGAGCCCGTGGGTGCCAGGGAGAGCCCAGACGCAAGAGGTGGGAGAGGAGAGCGCTGGCGGAGGGGGTGGGGGTGTTGCATTGCAATAAACCACCAGGGAATGACGAGCTCACAGACCTGTAGGTAGCAGAGCCAGGGACTGGGGCAGCGAAGGGTCTTCACTTGCGGGGACGGGAGAGTCTGGCTCTCGGGGTGAGTGTGGTGGGTCCTGGCCTCCTGCCCCTGGTTCCACGTGCAGCCTGGCTGGTTGCTGGTCTCCCTGGGGCGGGGAGCTGGCGGGATGCTGGAATCAGAGGCAGATGGGTGACCGTCACCGCCCGGCAGCCCCCTGCAGAGCCCCAGGAAAGCCAGCAGTGCCCGGCCCTAGGGCAGGAGAGGCCAGTGGGCAGCTAGTGACCCTGTGCTGGAGGAGCTGAGCTGGCCGGTGGCGGCAATGCTGCGGAGAGGCAGGGATGGGGCTCTCAGAGTCTGCTGCTCTGCTGGTCAGTCTCTCCAGGGGAGCAGAGCCGTGGACTGGGGACCTGGTTAGTACTTCCTGGCCAATACTGGGTCAGTCATGCCCCCACTTCTCCACAGGGGCAGGCACCTCTGTGCATGGGGTTCGCCCTTCCCCCATGCAGCGCTATCTTCCCACAAACCCCTTGAAAGGGGTGCTGAAGACAGGCTTCTGTGGAAGTGGGGGTGCTGGTGCCCCAGAGCCGGTGCCCGGGCGCAGAGCCCAATGCAGATGACCCCAGTGTCCCACAGGACCCCA